CACAGAAAATGAAAATAAATATATTTTGATTTAAACAGCTCTTAAGTTCAGTATGTTATGTAAGTAAGGCTTACTTACGCGATGTTTGCATGCGGCAGATCGAACGATCGCTCGTTCGACTCAGATCTCTTGCAAAGCTAGTTCAAGCAATCAATCAATCAGTAAAATCATATCTTAAAATCATCACACATACTCTCACATATCTAACACCCACTCACACACGCACACACACACACACATTCATTTACATCTCCCTCATTATACCAACTGTTTGTTTGTTTACCTCGCATACAAATGTAACAACTATTTGTGAGCGCCAGGGCCAGTGTTTGAAATACCCTGTGAGTGGAGTTCCTTCACGTGGAACAGTTTAGCTACCATATGCGAGGTGTGCTCGATAAGTAAGTGTGACTTATTCATTTCTTACCGATGACAAACATTCAAAACATCATGCGTAATCGATTATTGAATCAAACTTTGCCTTTGTGTAACGTCATACTTATTTCTTGAGTACACCACGTCTATGTATGCGTGTCCTTGGTGCATCATGTGATCTTGTGTTAAATTCGCTGTTTTACTCGAGTTGGAAGGACTATGTCGGAAGAAGAAGGAGAAGAGGAAGTAGAAGAATCGATTATTGCGCAACCATTTATTTGTACTTAAGTCTCTCTGTCTCTCTCTCTCTCTCTCTCTGTCTCTCTCTCTCTGAGCGACAATTACTAATACTTATTAAACAAATCAAAACAAAAAACAAACCATATCCCTCTACAATACTATCCATTACCCCTAAGTCCACTCAGCATCCAGTATTCTAGAGCTCCCATAGCTGGCCAACCAGCTAGCTGTACCTGTGTTCCCGAATCCCGAATCACCAAACAACAGCTGCCAATGGGGCAGCTCTTTGTTCTAATCTACCAATGTTAAGTATCAATCCAAATGCCACACACACACACACACACACACGCACACACACACTCGCACCCACACGCTCTCTTTCACACATAAACCTATTTTATTAATTCCCTACATTTGTCAAAAAGTCGATTTATGCAACATATGTATGTATACATATGTACATATGTATATGTATTGTATAAGGCGTAACATCTAAAAAATTGTGTGTTTACCCGTCCTACTTACCCTGATGCACACACCCCCAAATGCCCCAAATGCCCCAAATGCCCCACCCGCCTACCCTCCAAAAGCACATTTGAAATCTGGTATATTTTGGTTGTTATCTTAACCCCCAACCAAATCAATCGAATCGCATCACACACACAGGCAACAAAGGTGCTGCTGCGTTTGAGTTTGAAAAAAAGAGACACTAGTGACAACAGAAATTTAGAGTGCTTGGTGCTCGCTGCACCAGGTCAACCAAAATAACAAAAATTACAACAAAAACAAAAATATTACTAAAAACACATTTTATATACAACAAATCAATCAGGCCAAAACATGTTTCAAAATTTTGCTAAAAAAAAAAAAACAAAAACAAAACAATAAACGACTAATTGGTTTTTAAAGTTATTCAAAAATATTATAAAAGAAAAAAAAAAACAAACAAAAAATTACGACACATTCACAATTGGTACCGTCACCAAAATTTAACTGTCTAAACACTATTTGTGGTGAGTTCTCACGAAACTCACCACGCAGCAGCCTTAGGGTATGCTACAGAAAATCTTCCTTCGAGCGTAAACGAACGTTAACAACAACAACAGCAACAACTACAAGAAATTTCTTCGAACTCCACCAAAAAAAGTAAAAAAATTGTTTATTAATATCAAACAAAAATTTGTTTGTGCGCCGCAAAAACTACAAAATTTTCAAGTGAAAATGCAACAGCTAGAAAAATACAACAACAGAAAATTGAAAAACAGTTTTTATTACTATTTTATTTACTCATGTTTTTTGAGAAACCAAAAACCAAAATTAAGAACCAAAAAGCGTTTTTTTTTCAATGATTTTAATGCAAATGCAAATGAAACAGAAACAAGCAAAATTATAAACTATATATTTCGATATATAAATAGCAAAATCAGCAAGTTTTCAATTTGGTTTTGAGCCTGGATTTGTTAGTGTAAAATAATGTAAAATAATACAACAACAAACTAAAAACAAAACACAAAAAACTTAACTCACTAGACAGGCACAGACACAGACACAGCCACAGACACAGAGACACGGAGAAACGCACTCACACATATGCACAACTACATGACAAGTACATCCATATATATATATATATGCTTGTGTTTGTATGTGTGTGTATGTGTATGTGTGTGTACGTACTAACCACATATAAAGACCACAGACAAAAACAAAAACCCTAAACAATCAGAACAACAATAACAACAACAACAACAACAACAAAAACAACAAAAACAACAACAACCAGAACAACAACAACAACCAGAACAACAACAACAACAACAACAACAATAGCAACAAAGTCAAATATACAGAAAAGTCACTATTGTCTCTTTTTTTCTTCTCTTCCTATATGACGTATAGGTGGCAGCACCAGCCTACTCAGCGGCGTCATAGTGCCCGGTGGTAGTGACAACCCTAGTAATAGTAGTAACAACAACCAACAACAACAACAACAACAACAAGTAGAACAACAGCCAACATCACAACACCAACTCCAACAACAACAACTCCAAATCCAACAACAACATCATTCCACACTACATAACCCACAACAACAACAACAACAACAACAACAACAACTGCACCAAGAACGTGAACGAGAACGTGAACGTGAACGTGAACGCGAACGAGAACGTGAACGTGAGAGAGATAGAGATAGAGAGCGTAGCAGCAAGGCGAGTGATCTACACAGCAACAGCGAGCGCAGCCTCTCACGCTCATCGCAGTGTGGCATCAGCGAGGGCATGGCAATGCATAGCAGCAGCGCAACTCCGTCGCCGAATGCCAGCTACAAGCGCGAAAGGGAACGAGAGAGGGAGAGGGAGCGGGAACGGGAGCGGGAGCGGGATATTGAAAGAGCACGGAGCAATACGCCGGGTGCAACACCCCCGCCATCACAGACATCGCATCACGGACATCCAGCACCACCGCCGCACTTTAGCCAACATCCGCTGGCTATGCTATCCAGCCATCACCAGCATCAGCTGCACTCGCACCACGAGCTGTCGCCTGGCGCTGCCCATGCGGTGGTTGCTGCACATCATGCGCATGCTCTGGCCCGTGCCGCCTCGCCGCTTGTGGATCGCCACCACTTGCTGCATCAGCACCATCGGCGCGCCTCGCTGTCGCCCTCGGCGTCAGTCAGCAGCGGCGGCGGCGGCCGCGGCTCCGCCGGCAATGCGGCCAGCAATTTGCTGAGCTCAGCGCGCGCCAGCGATGTGGCGCAGGCCAACCGCCTGCTCCTGCCATTGCCGTTGAATGCGTGCCATCGCTGCGATGTGTGCGGCAAGCTGTTGAGCACGAAGCTAACGCTGAAGCGGCACAAGGAGCAGCAGCATCTGCAGCCGTTGAACAACGCCGTCTGTAACCTTTGCCACAAGGTCTTCCGCACGCTCAACTCGCTGAACAACCACAAGAGCATCTACCATCGCCGGCAGAAGAATCACCACTCGTATTTCCATCACAGTGGCGGAGTCGTTGGCCAGGCGGGCAGTCCCGGCAGTCGGCTGCATCAGTCGCTTAGCTCGCTGACCGCTGCCGCAGCTGTGAACAACAGCGTCGGCGGCGGTGGCGCCGGCGGCAATGCTGTGGCTGCTGCTGCGGCTGCCGCAGCGGCTGCTGCGGAGCTGCTGCTGTCCCCGATTGTGGGCGCCGCTGCTGTCGCCGGGGGTACGGCCAGCTCGACGCTGCAGCTGGCGGCGGCGCATCAGCAGCAGCAGCAACAGCAGCAGCACCAGCAGCAGCAGCAGTCCTCGCCGAACATAGTCAAGCCATGCATAGACTTCTTATAAGATCAGCATCAACTCTTGCAGCAGCTGTTCCATGTTGCACTCAACAACTCAGCAGCAGCAGCGGCGGCAGCATCGGCCTGCCAGCCCCAGCCTGGCGACTACGTCGGCCAGCAGGTGGGTGCCACGCCAACGGTAGACCTAACCCAATTGGACCAGGGCAGCGGTGGTGTCTATGCGGCGGCGGCCGTAGCAGCGGCAGCTGCGGCAGCAGCGGATGGGGGAGTTCCAGACCTGCGTGCCCTTCATATGCACCAGCAGCAGCAACAGCAACAGCAGCAGCAGCAGCAACAACAACACGGCCATTTGGCCCATATGCATCCACACTCCCACTCCCTGCCCCACCCACATCAGCATCAGCATCAGCATCAGCATCCGCACCAGCATAGCCATACTCATGCCCAGCATCATCATCGCTATGAACGAATGAATTTATTAGACCAATAAGCAGAGCGCTCAAATGAATACTACACAATCGTGACGTCATCGCCCGATGAGCTCGTTCACGTAACATACATACTCACACACTCGTAGGAAATCGGAGGATATACGACAAAAGAGGAGGGAGAGAGAGAGAGAGACGAAAGGAGATAGCGGATAGCGGATGATCTACTACTGAATGCAAACATACACATTGAGGAGGACAGAGCGGATAATCTTGTACTGAATCTATATACATAGATATACATATATAAATATACATACATACATAGACGCACACGCACACGCCCACACACTCACACACATGCAAAATTGCATACACTTTGGATCTCAACATGGCGGAAAACTGCAATAATTAAAATTAAACAAAACAAAAAACAAAATGTTTCGGMAAGCAACAACTCAAATGGAACAACTAAGAAGAAGAGGATGTAGAAGAAGAAGAAGATAAAACATGTTTAGGCAAATGAATGAAAAAACTGTGATTTTTTACAAAAACTTGATTATAAATATAAAAAAAAAAAAAACATAAATGAAAAAGGAAAAAAAAATATGAAAAATCAACACAATTTACGTCTTTGAAAAGGATGCGATAAAAAAATTGTAATTAAATAAAAATTGAGAACGCGCAGTTTTTTTTTAATGGAAAAACTGAATTTGGCTAAGCCAAAATGCAATAGCGCTTTTTTTTTTTTTTTTTTTTTTTTTT